TGTCCAGTGCTCCCATTCATCACTGTACCGTTCAAATCGACAAACATATTTCATCTGCTTCAATAATACGTTCTGCTGCAGTTTCTATTCGATTACACAGAATCTTTCAGGCAAATCTCTGTTTCCACTGCAGAATATTTCCTTCAATTGTCTACGCTGGGTGAATGTAACACATCCAAATAAAAGCACGTTCTCGGTCCTATTTAAATGATTTTGAAGAAGGGAACTGTCCCTTATTCTAGAAAAAAATATCTTGATAAAAAGATAGATATGATAGAAAATTCAGTAGATTCATAACTTCATGTAAGATGGTAACTCTACCAGTGTCTAAAAGTATATTGCATTATTTACTATCGTAACTTTTCTGACAAACACTGTTGACAGTAAATTGCTCCTCTTTTGGGTAACTCCTAAAAAGCCATTTTCATATGGATTTTGAAAACTGGAAATTTTGTTCTTCAAGGCAATCCTACATTTTAGAAAATTCTTATAGCCTTTAAAACATTGTTCTCTCGAAGAATGCTATATGTTATAGCATCAAACATCGCGACGATATGCGACTAGGGGCGCCCAGGCGGGTGCGCTGGGACGATTTGCCCCAGGCCCCCACTTATGCGATGCCCCCACAATGTATGTATGTATGTAAAATGTATATATATATATATATATATATATATATATATATATATATATATACACGTGTGTGTGTGTGTATAAATCAATATTTTCGGCAATAGATACATTGATAAGGGAAGGCTTACACCGGCGATGAGATAAATAATAGTATTGTATGTAATAATTACTATATGTATTACAGGTTGATTATAATCTCACAAACATGTGAATTTTTGCGCACATTTTACTTTCTCGCTACCGCGGTAGAGAATAAGTCATGTGATGTTGCGCAAAAAACAGTAGATTTTCAACAGAAAAACTCTCATTACAGGGCCCTGGTAACGAAAAAGTGGATAAACCCAGTTGCTAAATTTAAAAAAATCTAACACGTGGTGTAGCAAGAATTCATGTTTTGTGGGTCCTTCATAAAAAAAATCGATTGATGGCAAAACGTCTTTTCATCCATCCGTCTGTGAACAACGCTAGCGTCTACCGCTTATCTCTAAAATTGATATTCCCCAATTGATCTGGTTTGAATTTGAAATAGATATTTTAATATTTTTTTTGGGGGGGGGGGTTCTTTACATTAAGTCTTTGGGACATTTTCAGAATTAAAAAAAATGGCTTCATTATTTTTTATTAAATTTCGTTGTTGGATAATGTAAATGACGTTTAAGAGAATGGGGCAGGTCTCATTTTCGTTAAAAACTCTGATTTTTTGAAAATTGCGAAAATTCAATTTTTTCCGGCGTATATCTACAACTACAATATTCAAGAGGGAGGTTTTTTTCATAAAATATGTTCCATAAAGATAGATTTTGAAATTTCATGTACAAATTTTTAAAAATTTAACAACTTTTCGTGTAATTTTGCGTGTTAGTTAAAAACCCTGAGTTTTCGAAAATTGAAAAAATTCAAAATTTGTTCGGCGTCTTTCTACAACTACAGTTACGAAGATCCAATATTTTTCTTAATGGAATGTATTCACCAAAAACAGATCTTTAAATAAGGTCATGTTGAATTTTTGAAAATATGAGTTTTTTGTGTAATTTGGCGACAAACATAGTCGCCCGTTCCAATTTACCGCGCTTGTTGAACGCAAAATGAATTGTGATGCTACGCAGTGGATGCTATGTGAGTTAGAATTTATATATTTTTCCATTTTTCATTGTATTGTTATTATTTATTATATTTATATTAAAATTCATTTCAAAATGCGACCTTTAATTGGGTTAAATGTGAAAACGAATAGGTGATTTCGTTTTGCTAAATAAGATGTGAGAATGAAGATAATTACATCTAGAAACCGAGTAATTTTGATAAATATAAAAATATCAAATTTTTATTATTATATTTTTCTATCCATTTTCATTCTTTTGCTAGCGATTTAAACAATGCTAATTGGCAAACTGTGTATTGTGTGTGTACTCATACGATTTAGCGGTCATTGTTGCTTGTGGTAACGCCGCACTATTAACAGAAGGCGATTATGATTGCTGCTTTTCGTCGTAATAACTAATTATTGAAAAAATATAGTAACTAATTATTTTATATAATTGGAGGATTTTACAAAACTATAGTGTTTAATAATTGCTATTACACATTTTTCAATCTATTTGTATTTGTTTTCCAATGCTATCAGTATCGTATTATTTATTAATTTTTAGTTATTTTACTTTTTGCCATACTGCTTACACAGAATATTGTAAGGCTAAACAACTCATCGAGTAAGTTTTGAGAATAACTTACACAATGAATTCAATGCAATAAATATATTTTCATTTAAAGTTTTGAATAAACAAATGTTTGGCTATACATTATTTACCTGATGATGGAGACTCAATAGAGCTACAAAACGTATTCTCAAAACTCACTGTGAAATAAACTATGTTAATGAACTGTTAATTTTATTTCAAATGAACTGATTATCAATAATAAAGTGGAACCTGATGAATAAAAAAATATATTGCTTGAAAATATTTATTTTTCGCACCAGATGTTCTATGATTCCAAATGAGATTTACAAATAATTGTGATTGTGATGTGTTAAATCGGAGAGAAGTTGTGGTATAAATAATATTATATAACCGTTACTAAAGGCGAGAAAGTACGTGCTGTTGTAGCACCAATAGTTCAAGAATTGAAAAAAAATGCGTTTTTTTCGAAAATCTGTATCTTACTTGTTAATTGGTTTCGAAAAAAAATAGTTTATTCAAAAGTTGTAGAAAATTTTATTTTCGTTAAAATTGATTTGAATCATTTTTCTACAGGACTTTAGGTTTGAGAGCTGTAGAGAAAAATCCGAAACAGCAGGAGGAAAAAAAAAATTCCGTGTTTTCGGGTCTACCGGAATTAGCAGAGGGCCTGGGAGGTCGAAAACCTAGGGTTACTAGAGCCTGGGTTCATACAACAAACTCAAAGAAAAAAGTTTTTGTGACCTTTTTCCAGGTAACCCCTCTTTTTAATACCTGTTGATTGTATTATTATCCCTGTGACCCACAGGTAGCAACGCCGAGCAACCGCCAGCCCCGTAGCACGCACTTCGACAAATTCCAGAGATCTGATTTACAATACAAGAAAATGTGCGATGCAATTATGACACATGAGAGTTGTAATTAACCAAATGAAACATATATCGTAATATTACATGTAATTAAAGATTTTTTAAATATCGCAGTAAAATGTTTTGGCTGTAACGCAAACATGCTATAACTGGTAACATGCTTTAACTCAAAGAAGGATCGAAGGCGGGGCCGCGGAGGTCGTGCCCCCCCTCAAAAATCAATAATTTTATAAATTTTACTGAATTTAATCCAAATAAATATAATTATACAATGATAAACCATTGCATAAAGTGATCACATCACATCCAAATTAATATTGGCATTATAATATTATATCGCAACCCGAACTGAAATTAACCTCTCTCCCCTGAAATACTTTCTGGATCTGCCTCGTCTATGTATTCGTAAACAGAATTGCCAACTGATTTATAAAAATAAGGACTAATGAGAACGGGAGGAAGGGTTTGACATACTTGCTAACACCACATGTTAATATTGGCATGTTCTACTCTTATGGCTTCTTCCCGTTCTCACTTGCCTTTTGTTTTACTAAAGATTACATACGTGCTAACTTTATCACATTATTAATTATTTTAGGCTATTTATTTTGAATGAAAAAATCGGGTCCTCAATTAAATCATGACCTGGAATATCCTCCCCCCCTACATCTGGGAACCCATGCCGCTGCACATTATGACATTATAGTATGTAAAAGAAAACTCAACACATTATTTTCGTGTAAACATTTTTTTAAATATTTCAAAATGTATTGTCAAACGTTTTGGTTTTTGATTCCGATTAATAGTCCTCCACTTTTAACATTTTCGTAATGCAAATCCTAAATATTTCCTTTTCTTAGATATCATTAATCAGCTGAAACTGCGACACATCAAAATCGTGCCTTCTAAATCGAGAAGAACACGGAATCGGACATCGGAATGAGTAAGACACCATCTATTCACTCTCGGATCAATACGTCGCACAGGTTATCTTCAGCCTCGTACTTGATTCCTTTCGTGTCAAATCTCAGAAGAAGTGCGTTCTTTAGTCTGGCTGTGACGGCTGCGTGACTCGTCATTTTTTGAGCCAAATTTAGATATGACGTTCCCAGAAAATTTGCGCACCATGACTTTCTTGCTTCTGATTAAAAATACGTTGTTTATTTTGCCATAACTGATTTTTATGCATATGTTTTCGGATAATACATCTATTTTTATTACCTTCACATTTTTTTCTTTCACACACCATCTTTTTACATGTTTACAATATGCAATGAAACATTTTGCTCTATCTCTATGATTCTTGCATGGTTCAGGCGGTATCAATAAACAGAACACATGTCACATTCTCTGAATTAAATGCGCAATCGTCTAATGGTGTATCACATTCATTTCTTCTACGTTCCATAACTTCTAATGGATCCTCACAAGGAATTTGGAGTAAACAAAAACCTCTTGCAGTCGATGACTGTGATAGGCCTACTTATATCTAGTAATTAAATGTTAAGAAAACGTTATCCACGTTCTACGGACGATTGCAATCCGTAATGGTAGTAAGTGACGTCATTGAAAGTTTTCTGATGCAATCCTTCAACACGCGGAACTGAACAGTTTACTCTACCTAAAATAGTTCCATGTACGATATGGGATTTTACATTTATTTCTCCAATATTCGTTAAAAAAATCAAAGATTTAAGAAAATAATTTTAAGGAATGTTATTTACAAATAAAAAATCAATGTTTAGGTTGCCAAGAACTTAAAGAGAGGGAAAGCGTGAGCGGATGGATACAAAGGACCCCTGATCTCGAGTCACGTTTTGTACTCATTCTTCCCCCATGCTACCAGCCAAGAAGACGTGTTTAATACCTGCCTCCTGGCGAATATATCGGTGAAAATGGGGTTCTAGGTGCTCCCACGCGTCCGCACACGCAAGTGTGCTAACAGAAGTTAAGCATAATGGCGTAAGTACATTTTTGCGCAGAAATGCGAGTAATATATGTTAGAGTAAAGTGTAATTGTGTTCTTCCGTATGGTGCGCTATTAAGTCCTCTGTATGTTTTTGGGCTATTATGGCCCTTCTCTCTCCGTTTTTGAAGGAGCGTGGTCGGGAAATGAGTTAGCGTCGTGTAAGATTTGCAATTGTGGAGTTAAAATGAAGTTAGTATGCGGACACTGTGATTTGTTTATAATTGGATTAAGTAGGTTACGTGTACCGTTATGAATTCTTATGATCATGTTAAGCGACTTTCTAGTAGAAAATGCCATTTTAAAGTATTCTTAATATTTACACTTCGCAGTTCATTACTGACAAACTTAAGTATAGCTCGTGACGCGCCTGTAGAAGGGCACGATTGTGAAAGAATGCGCCATTGTAGTATCTGCAAATTTTGTCAACAAGGGTTGGACGGAAACTGGGGCGCCGACTAGTTGACTATGCACGGGGTCGTTGATTGTTGCCCCGGAAATGATTGTAGCTGTCCTTAGTTTTCAATGTTGATATCGTGTTATTGATCTTAAAATGGAACTGATTTGGTAATTTCATTCTGAACACTTGTTTTTATATATGTTACGTTTTATTTATATTATTGAAAGTTACTTCCGCACGCGTAGGAGAAAGCCCAATGCCTGTGTACGCTGAGAAAAAGTTGTTGGATGGGTACCAAGTTATCTCTCAATGTACATGTAATTACTAATAATAACGGGAAAGTGGCAAGGGTCAATTCGTATCATAACTTACCGTATATCAGCATCTTGCTGGACCCCATGATTTAAGAACGTGATTGCTTGAAATACCCGAGTAAATTATGGGAACATCTTGGCCTCTGAATATCAATTGTTATTGTTTTCGCATTGGTAACTCGACTGGTGACTTTTTGAACATAAATGGCGCATGTTACAATTTATTTATTTTTGTTGCCATTTTGCCCCTGTATGTTGTTTTTAAGATGACCTCTCTTAAGAGATGTTAAAAAAGTAGAAGGAAGAGATAATGTTCAGAGTGCAATTATAATTTTATATTTTCGTCCATAAGAAAAAAAAATGTTTTATTAAACATTTAGATCAGTATAAAAAATTATTAAACTTGGTAACTGCTAAAGGACACTAATAAAACCATTTTCATAGGTTACTGACTTGAACAACTGTATTTTGACAGTGCAATTTAGTTAATTAAATTGTTAAATTTAAATAGCAGTTCTGTTGAGAGGTAAACATGGTATATAGGACCTAGTGTATACAAGTTGATATGTTTTGATTTGGGATGCATTGGAGGCTTTTGGTGTTCTTGTAGAAGGAGATTCAATTGAAAGTTTCTTGAATGAATTCACTAAATTTAGAAATATTCAACTCCTTTAAAATTTTTAAAACAAATTTTTTTTGAAAAATAGTAATGTTATAAACTGGTTGTTATGTAGACCTACTTGCATAACAAATGTCATATCTAACTGAAATCATTTTCAAGTTATAATTTTTGTAGTTTAAAATAATTTATGAAGACTCCGAAATTACAAAAACTTCTTTGAAATAACTTTTCATTTCAGAGTTCATTTTAGAGCTTAGCTTCATTTTAAAGTAACTTAGTTTTAGTTGGTACCGATGAGTTGAATTTCTTCTAATTTTCAGTTCGAATACTAAAATGTGTAGGTTAGCAGGAAGTTCAATGACTACTGTTGATTGTCATGTTTTGATAGGTGCCTCTAAACTTTTTGCCAACAATGCAACGGTAAAGCAACATTTCAAGCAAAACCTGTATAATAATTATTGTTATTAAAGAAGAAAAAAAATACCAATATTAAGACAACTATGAGGTTGAACATAAATTACATGTGATGAATTTCAGATAAAAAATAATACCCGCTACTCCGTCCCCAAGTAACATTGTGCCATGTAGGCCACCTATCCCCGGTTCCTTTATTTACAATAAAATAAATTTAAATGTCAATTACAATGGTAATTTCTTAATCATGGTTTAAGTGTCTGTTAAATCATTGTAACAACATTGTTCGATCATAGTTATCACATGGAACATAATGTGTAATCGTATTCTGTAGACTCTTAAACATAATACAAAGTACTAATAAGGGTATTATCGAAATTGCATTTATACTACATGTTATGTATATCTTCATGGAGGCGTAAAGTTGAAACAAATCAATAATCATTTTATATTAGGTGAATAAATGAAATAAACAAAGCTTTACATAAAAATGTTAATTTTTTTAAATTTGCAAAAAGAAAAAAAGTCAAACCTACCCCTAACCCAAAATATCTACTCCTTCCAGCCATGTGATTGTCATTTATTATTTTTAATTTGCTCTCTTCTCATTATGCTATTTACTCTTTTGCTAGTGATTCCTGTCATTTCATGTGGCAGTTTATATTCTGTATCAGTTCCTTGATTTTTAATTATTCTTTATTTATTATTAATAATTTTATCTCTGTCACAAGCAGCCTATATCAGCAAGGATTTGTTGCCGTTGAACACAGTAGTTTATTGTGACTTTCATTTTACGCACTGTCACAAAACTCATTGTAATTTTGTTTGTCCAATGTTCTTGAATTCTGTAATTTATTTTCCTAATAGTAACTTGAAAATATAGACATTTCAACAATTAGAGTACTCCCCCCCTCTCTTATGTACTGTATTTCTCTAATGATTCAAATAATTTGGGATACAATAGTGTTGTAGAAAAATGACTATTATTAAAATCTTGTGCTTTTAAAATAAAAGTTCAGCGGATGAAAATGCAGTTTACTAAACAATTAATGAATGTCAAGGAAATTGAGAGAATAAAATAAGTTTTGGTCTTCAACAGACTCCCTATCTGACTAAGAAATCATGTCTGGGATGTTATTGCCCATAGTTATAACGACGTATGTCTGCACAGGTGTTTTATAGGTAACTGTGTTAGTTTCTACATTTCAACTTTCTTAGGGTAGGCATAGGTTCCTACACCTATCCACCCACCCACACACACACACACACACACACACACACACACAGAGAAGAGTCCTTCAACAAAACTTAATAAAAGCAGTTCACTTGACTAGCAAATGTCAAAAGATTTTTTTTATTATGAGCACAGAATATTCTTAAAACACATTCCAAATCTCTCTTGTCAAAAAATATTAAATATTTCTTATCAGAAAATATGGGTGTGAATTGGTCAGCTTGATCTCAAATAAAAAAAAATATTCTGATATTTGGCAATGGTCTTGGAGACAAGGAGTCTATACTTAGTGAGCTGACTATAGAAGCATTTTGTATTGTATTTTGTGAAGTTCCAGAATGACTTATGTTACAAAATTCCAGAACTTTTTGATTAGTCTGCTGTGTTGGAAACTTCAGCAAGATTGTATCCGAAGGTTCCACAGCACTATGTCAGTAGGTTCCACAACATTGTGGTGGAAGGTTCTATTATATTTAAGTGTCTAAAGGGTTCCAGAACATTGTTGGGAGAGTCCCAGAATGTTTTGTTTTGGAAGGCAATGAAGTTTTTTGTTTTGAAGTTCAACGTATTTTGTTTTGGAAGTGGTTTAGAACGTTATGATTGGAAGGTTCAGAACGTTATGATTTTGGAAGGTTCAGAAAGTAATGCGTATGTTTTGGAAGGTTATAAAATTTAGTTTGGAAGGGTTTCCAGAGACTGTTTGAGTTGAACTATTTTTGGAAGGTTCAGAATTATGTTTGGAAGGTTCCAGAACGTTATGTTTTGGAAGGTTCCAGAACGTTATGTTTTGGAAGGTTCCAGGACGTTATGTTTTGGAAGGTTCCAGAACGTTATGTTTTGGATGGTTCCAAGACGTTATGTTTTGGATGGTTCCAGAACGTTATGTTTTGGATGGTTCCAGAACGTTATGTTTTGGATGGTTCCAGAACGTTATGTTTTGGAAGGTTCCAAAACGTTTTCTTTAAAACTCCAATTTTGTATTCTACAACAATGAAATTTTACAATGTACTGGAATGGTCTGGTACCAGAAGTTTCCATTGTATTTGGGTATCACTTTCTAATGTAACATCACCTGACAACCAGCCAATCAGAATCTCCCAGTCAGCTTTTAAAGGGACCCACAGGGAAGAGCTGTCCATTTGGTTCCAGGCATCTGAGCAACCTGAAGTCTCAACATTCTACTTATATGTACTGTTGTAGCTGTCCATTCACAATAGGGGTGTAGGTGATAATCTATTTGATATTTAACCTCCTGTATGTCTCTTTAATAGAGATCATGAAAATCAACTTACCAGGAAATAGTAAAATATGTATAAAATGCAGTCTTTGTGTTTCCGTAGAGATTTTTATGTACCAATAAATTCGCAAATTTTGAGAGCACTTTTTAATTAGGCATTTTCAAAATTTAATGTTTTTATGGTGTTACAGTAAATTCATATTAAACGACAAGAAAGTGACATTACAATTGTTTAATCCGTAATATTATCTAATTTTATAATAATATTGAACTGTGGAGAGAAAATAGGTAAACTGAAAATGGGAAATAGAAAAATTAGGTGCCTGAAATATTGCGTGCCAGAAGATGTGTTGTATTCAAAAGGAAGAATGTCTTAAACTGTCTGAATGTCATAGATATTACTGTAATTACAGTTCTTTTGTTGACAATACTAAAATATTAAAACGTTTGGTTTTAATATTTCAAATCTAGTGTAGTTATTGAATACTTTAAATTATAAGGAAATTTTAAGTTTGTTGAACTATCAGTGTGTAATGTTCAAGAAATTAAGTTAAGAATGTTTCATTTCATATACTTAAGTGAATGTTCATAAACAAAAATTTTAAAGCATTTAAACTAAAGAATGTGTTTAGGAGCTGTAACTTCATATTAACATAAGTCTTGCAACAAATCAATGGTAATGGTTTTGTATGTTTGACCTAATTGTGTTTTGTTCCTTTTTCAGTGCCAATATGGCATTTTTACCTCCCTACGTCGCTTCGTCGACAGTGACCATCTCTTTGAATCGACAACTCTCGTGAAATACTTAGTTGCCCAATTTTATTATTCTTGACAGGTACAGAAAACGGACAAATGACAACTCTATCAGCTTGCTGGGATGGTAAGGTTGTGTGTAGCCTCGTTTCCGGTCCGGGCTTCACATCGCTTTGAACATGAAGCAGACTTCTGGGGTCTTGATGATCGATGTGACACTCATAGTTCCCAAGTAGAGAAAAAGATGAGCCCTACGGATCCAAATCTACATCGGAATTACTGGATGAACTCGATGAGTGGATCAAAGAAGGTAAGCGTATTTTACATACTTGATGTGAGTAATGTGTATTTGAATTTGTAAAAAATTAAATGAGACAGACTTCATGCCTACAAAATTTTTATGTTCATGGGAATTGTAGACAGTCTCTTCAAGTGAGCCATGAATACTACTTTTAAATTGGATAAAATTCACATGAAATGTCAAGAATGCATGGAATGTAATTTTATAATGACTTCATTGTGTCCAGAAAGTAACCTTGAGACATTTCAGACCTTAGGTTACTCTAAAATTTGTTTGTGAAATGTTTTTGGCTATTCAAATGTAGGCTTTAGATTGTTTGTACATCAGATTGTTTTCGTTTGATTTCTTTAAATATTATTTTGTGTTTTTCCTTTCCTTTGGGTTTTTCCTAAGTTATAGTTAGTTTGCTGTGTTTTTAACATTGTTTCTAACATTGCTTGTTTTTTTAACACATCTCTATTCAACTGTGGGAGTACTTCAATTGAGTGTCTTCCTATTACTCTAGAATCTCAATTTTGTGGTATTCTGTTGTTTTTTTGTATTTACTATCATGCTCTTGCCATTCACTCAACATGTAACAAATGTATACATGCAATATGTAAAAGAAAACTATTTTTCCTCACAATTTACAATGAGAAAAAGTAAATTTTAGTGAGAAATGTTAAGTTATCTTGTATCATGAATTTTGATCGCATCAGGTTATTGTCAGGATAGTAGAGACCAAGTTACAATTTTATTATTTGACTTATTAATTCTTACTTAATGAAGCTACAAATGAAAATGTTTTTAAACAACTTTCCTCAAAGGTAGCAGAAAATCATTGAATTAAAAGAGTTTTAGAAAACACCATAATTTTTGTTTCCTATAAATCTCCATGGAAGGGATGAGATGTTATTGAAAGTAAATTGAATTTTCAAAACTGTAAAATTTTATTGGTGTAAAGTGGAATAGAGAGCTCACACTTGTTTAAACTTATTACGAAGCCTGTGCAAAAGGCCAACGACACATCTCAATCATAGTCTCTCTATGAAGTTAGTTGTGAAGTTATTTATACTTATCAACTCATTAGAATTCCCTTCTTTAAAAAAAAATTCAATTAACCGATTTTATTCCATGAGAATACTCATTGAACTGAATTTAAAAAATAACAATTTCCTGTTTGCAATCATAACACTTCCATCTTTGAGACATTCCTCAATATTCTACTAATGGTGTATCCGAAGTTTAAAAGTTGCTTGCAAATGCATGTGACAGTATTGTTGGAGAGTTAGCCACTTGCCTCTACAAACCTCTGTTCAACTTGTTCGTATTGCTCTTCATAAGCCACTGTTGAGTCTACTGAAAGCACCGTCTGTTTTTTCTCACTATAATGGAAAGACTAATGTGAAAGGTATTGTTGGGTTTCCAGTGAGATGGATCCCACTGAGAGAGGTCAAATGACAGATCTGATCTGACAATACCAGTTACAGGCTCAACAGACGAGGTGCATCTCTCAGTTAATGATGCAGTTCGAAGTATTAAGAGGTTCTTTGGCTACATTCCAGTTGTCTGATATCATATTAATTTTGGTTTTTGAACGTGTGTGCCAATTTATAAGATAGTGTGATCGGTTTCTAATAATTTAATGTGCTTTATCTTCATAATTCAATTAGAAATCAGATATCAAGGCTATAACATACTTAGACATGTTTTCCAGTATGTGTTGTTCCATACTGTTTTAATTTTTTAGGACTTATATTTATAAAAATTTGATATTGTAGGTCACACCAGTATTACCAGATTATTTTAAATTTAAGATTTATATTACTTGTTAAGTTTCATCGGTTTCACTGTCAAGTTAATATTTTTCTTGTAATTATTTTCATAGTTTTGTCTGTGATTATTATAAGTGATAGTCTTGATCAGAGGTTCACCGATGCAAGCAAATTTGTAAATTTGGTGGGGGCAAATTAGATAACCAATTAAAAGTTTAATAACTCTAAATTAGAGAACTGCAAAATCACTGCCCATGTTTTAGTCATAGCACAAATAGCTATTTACATGTTCCCTTCAGTCTCATAAAGTAGGTGGTCATTCAGTCATTCATATCTGCTTCCTCAGAATACTCAACAACATATGTTGAGAATATTGTCTGTACTTTTTTTAATGTTTATATTCAACAAAAGTCTTAAGATCTCTTCTCGATAACTACAAAATCTGGCAAAAGTAATACTACTGGTAATTAGTAATTCTAGCCTTCACATGAGCATCAAAACATGCAAATTTTATCTTGATCATCTTAATTGATTTTATAACTTTGAATGTAAAATGATAGTTATTGAGGATCCCACCTTTTTATGCATATTTGAAAAAAAGATTATTGAAGAGAGTTTGTCAATAATGTTAACTCATCAATGCACTGAAGATCATTACACTTGTAAATCCTGGATTTCTAGTTGTTCTGCGGGTATTTGGGTAGTTCATTTAGGAAAACCTGTCAGCACTAAATGACATTTTCATTGTAATTTTTGTGCGTTAATGTATAACAATGTGTATATTTAGAGCTGCAATATCTATTGAATTGTACTAGAAATGCATTGGCTATTTGCATGTTTGAATGCTCGACAAAGTCATCAAACATTGATCAGTCATATCTACTTCTATATTGTTTTATTACATAATAAGTTCATTTATGGTTTCATGTTTCCAAGATAAATAAATTGCTGATTGTTGATATACGAACCTAAGCATGTGAATAATTTTGTTTTCTTTTGTTTTGGAAGGCAGTCAAATTATTGTTATATGCAGACACCCAATTGTTTGTCATTATTTTCTTTCTGTTAATTTTTAGTTTCTTTTGTGTTTTGCATAAAGTTCTTAGCAATGTAAGTTTTTGTAACCAGATCTCTGCGAGTGGAGATATAAAAATAAATTATCCGCAGCAATGTTATATCCTGTGTTCCTCAAAAGTTACGTCAATTCTTTCACCATATTTGCTGCCAAATCTTTTGCCTACCACTGTATATGCTGTCGTTGAATTCAAACCTATTCTCATCACACACCAGAATTTTTTAATCCATATTTAGCGGGCTTATTCAGCATTTACGTTCTGAAAGAATGCATTTGTCATCGAAGTGCATGCACCCTTGTATGTCTTCGAAACAACAAATATTCATTGTTGCTGTGAAAATCTGATCATTTCCATTACTAAAAAATAATTCCTGTCAGCATTGAATGAAGCTCTTGATTCAATTTTTCACACATCCATTTAAGGAAGATTAATTTTTTTATGGTTGCAACTTCTTCACAATTTCCAAAGAATGTGTTTACACTTTTGCCAGAGGCAAAACTAAATTTTGTATTGAACATTGCTAACTCTAAAGTGATGGTGTCGTAAATGGAGTATAAAAGGATTTCATTGTTCATCTTGGCGTCCATTGTTGCTCATCTTGGCGTTCATCTTGTAGTCCATTGTTGATCTTGGCACATTTTTCCTCATTGTAATACCTTAACCTAAGCTACAATAAAATAGGGGGACCTTTCAGGCCCCGTACGTGGAAAGTGTGAATACCTACAGAAGTAACTAGATTTCTGAGAAGCTATTAGTTTCCGTGTACCCTCCTTGTACTATTAATAACAAAAATTATTTAAAACTTCAAGAAATATTATTATTAGCCACAATCAAAACACAATAGAATTAGATTGTGATGAAAAGTCACTGGGGCCTCTGAGGTCCTTTAAGTACATTGATGGGTTAAGAAA